AACGTGGGGGGGGGGGAAGAGAGTTGCTTTCAAACTGCAAGCATCATTCCTCAGAAGTGCCTGGGGCGTGCGATTTGCACCCACCTTCACACCAGGCATATTTTAAGGCCTGGCGGCTTGTTGTCGTTTTTAGAAACAGCCTTTTAAGGCCTAAGGCAAGCCCTAGAAGTGGCCAACTTGAGTGCGTGGGGCAGATCTTCCCTGCTCCGGCCACGGTGGCCTCCGACGAGCACAATACGCATTGGGGAAGGGCAGCCGAGTCGGAGGGCCTGCCAGGGTCTAGAAGAAAGGGGGGGGGGAAATACCTGCTCATTCCTGAGAATTTACCCACCCCCATGACTTGGATGGAAAAGAACAGGCTGCTTTAACACAGAGGTGTTTTTAACCTAACCAGTGTGGGTTTATTTTAACCAGGATGACTGCACATGGAACGACAGCATGGCGGGGGCTGAATCGATAGCGTGGACGGCAGGGTTCAGCGTGACCGGGGGTCCAGTTAGAGTTCCTCACACTTTCTGCAGTTCCACCAGCTCAGATCCTGAAACGGTTCTGATGGGCGACGGAATAGACAGGATCCATTCCGGCTCACTCTGCCCTCATCTTCTCATCCTCTCTTGGGGGGCCAGGCGTCTCTGCACAAACAAACGCTTTGCAGGCTTCGAACACAGAACTCCACTGCACATTCTGGGAGTGGACGTCATGTTTTCTTAAGCCAAATACATGGAGCCATCCGTAGAGTTTATACCCTCCCCACCTCTCGCCTTCTTTACTAAAAAAATAAGAGAGTTTTTTTTTTTTAAACCAATGGTGGTTCTGGAAACTAGAGATCTGGACAGGCCATTTGGAAGAGCAGACAGAAAAAGGGGGGATTAAACACCATCTGAAGCAATTTCAAGTTTTCCGAAAGCCACACCCCCATAGCTTGTGCTTATGATTGTGCCACAGGTTCCAATTATAATCTAGTAATCACTGCAAAGCTTAAAGGGACCCTATGGGTCATCTAGTCCAGCCCCTGTCAAGGAAGGCCCAATGGGGGAATTGAACTCCCAAATTCTGGCCCTGCAGCCAGAGACCTAAACCATTGATCTATCCGGCCATTGTATAAGGAATTCTCCCCATATTTACCTATTGAGAACGGCACAACTAAAATCATACAATACAGCGTATCAAGTATCCCCCAGGGTGAGGATGCTGTTAAGTCCCCAGGAAGACTTGGTTTACAGCAGGCAGAAATCATCATCTCTTCCCTACTTCTGCCCCTGCTTCCCAAGGTCCAGATCCTGCACAGACGGAGCAGCAGAATCCTGGAAAGCAGCTGTTCGAAGAGAAGCAAGTGGAGGACAGGTTTTATAACATGAGAAAACCACACCAAGTGGAGGCAGAGGAGAAAAATCCCTGAACGTGGGAGAAAATCTCACAACTGCCCCTTCCGTTGATCCAGCAGGGGCCACGTGAAAGCAGCTGCCACCTGTGGTCTCAAAGGATGCCCAGAGTGAAGGGCACAGTTGCTCACGCAGCGGCTTCTTTTTTCTCCAGAAGAGTGAAATTCAGTGGAATGGCCCTGTTTGCTCCGTTACCTATTCTAGTTGGGTATTATTAACCACTGCGAAGAAAGAAAAGAAATTAGCCGCGGTGCCCTGATTTCGAGTTTTATTACATAGTTGCTGTTGCACTGCAGGCTGTCCGCCCGAGTCCGGTGCCAAAGTCCAAAGAAGATCCATGAACCACACACATACACACACCCTGACCCTATTCCACTACCTACTGTTGTGGGTCTCAATATAAGCAGGAAACTAGTCTCTCTTCGGTAGGAAAATATATATTGTGTATATGAACCTAAATTGAAAAAAAAAATATACAGTTAGAAGAGTTACTATCTGGGAAAGGAGTCTATCGGGCTCTGTGAGGTCCACCTCGGAAGGCCAATGTGTATAAATGTAGTAAAGGCAGAATCAGTCCGGAGCGTAAGTTCCATCTTGACCCGGTTAGGAGATGGCCTTGGCTTCTGGAAGGAAGGCTTCCCAGTATTTCACCAGCTGCACGGAGAAGAAAAGATGAGCCGTCAGGGAGAGGAACTCCGGCTGCGTGGACCGATTCCCCATCTGGCTGCCTCTGATGGAGGCACCTCTTTCTGCAGGGACGTTTCCCACCTTCCGTATGGACTCTATTCCCATTCCAAGAGGTTGAAATGCCTCTTTGAAGACTGAATGGCAATAAGGATTTGAAGCAAAAAAGCAGACTGGTATTCTTTATTATTATTATTATTATTTTGCTCTGTTAGGCCCAGCCATCTGTTGAGGAATAGACCTCAACAGATGGGAAACCCTGACATCTTAGCGTTCAGCCTGGAGGCAGGCGGTGCATCACTATTCCCATTCCAAGAGGTTGAAATGCCTCTTTGAAGACTGAATGGCAGTAAGGATTTGAAGCAAAAAAGCAGACTGGTATTCTTTATTATTATTATTATTATTTTGCTCTGTTAGGCCCAGTCATCAGTGGAAGGCAGAGCCGGAAAAGTTCTCTGAAATGGAATAGGGCTCTTAAGCAGAAAGAGCCCCCCTCCCACCCGAAGTAATATAGGTTCCATAGGTAAATTCCCCTTTACTGCCACGATCCACACACCCCCAGGACTTCATTGCCTTCTCTGCTCAGTGGAAGCTGAGTTTCTTAAAAATCAGCCCTAAAAAGAATGAACCCGTACGAACCCCCTGGCCTCCTCAGCCACACTAGATGCTGTTCCAAGTCCTCCGCACAGAGCACGTTACCATAGTCTTTCGAGACTGAAGGATGCCTAACTAACTAGGCCCAGCCATCAGTGGAATGCAGAGCCTGAAAAGGCCTCTGAAATGGAATAGGGCTCTTAAGCAAAAAGAGCCCCCCCCCAAGTAATATAGGTTCCATAGGTAAATTCCCCTTTACTGCCACGATCCACCCCCACCCCACCCCAGGACTACATTGGCTTCTCTGCTCAGTGGAAGCTGAGTTTCTGATGGACAAAAACACGCCAGCGTGCTCTGCCTGGCGTAATACGGTCTTTAAGCAGCCTCGAGCTTCTGTCCTAGACATTCAGGGACTTGAGAAGCCAAGAATATGGAAAGCTGAACCGGATCGATGCATGCGAAAAGCAGGCATTTCACTAGACCCAGGTGTTCCACAAAGCCTCCTGGGGACAGCCACCCGCAACTGGAAATGGTAGGTTTCCGATTGTTTACTCACCTGCTGTTGCGAGTGTAATAGCGTCTCCAGGTATTTGGTCACATGGGTTTTGAAATCTTTTGTCTTCTCCTTCTGTAAACACAGAATCAAAGAACCACGCTCAGAGCTGAACGGCACATCTCCAGCAAGAAGCCTCTCTAGGCAACACAGGGGGGTTTGACTTGATACTCGTGACCAGTTCTTTTCATGCTATGTATTCTAAAAAACGGCTACAGGCTGCTTTAAAGCATGCTGACAATTTCAAAATGCATGTAGGGAGGGGACCTGCATGCATTTGAGACAGAACACATCAAGGTGTTACTGGGATCTGATCCTTGGGATGCCAGAAAATGTCTCTTCGTACTACGGATCACTGACAGCGCCCTTCGTACAGCAAAGGACAGGCAGAGCTCAGATTGCAGACGGACCAGGATTTGGGCTATCATTCAAGAGGGAGGGGGACAACACAGGCTACAAGGGGAAGGTGAAATTCATAATGTAGTTACTTTGTTAAAGTAAAGCAAGTCTGGGTGTGGTGACTGTAAGGATAGGAGATGACCTGAATCTCTTGTATTCCACCCCCAGTTTTGTAAGAGTAAACAGGAGGGATATAATCAACATATAAAGTAATAAAGAAAAACAAACACAACTAGGTTTAACACCCTTGGCTCAGTGTCTCAAACCAGTGCAGAAAACGATGGCATATTTTGACTGAACTGCCTTGAAATGGATGGTGGGATATCATGTTTTTTAAAAAGGTTAGTCACTGTCAGATGTTTTTCCTTGAAGGAGGCAACTCTTATTTCCACAAAGGCAGTTGATTTATCAAGAAGAGGCCTTATTTAACTACACTTCACCATTCCGTCCCAAAAATATTCCAAGAGCTAAACTCTACCTATGGAGTAGGACCATCAAAATGAATACGGGTTATTAGTCAGCACTAACCCACCCCATTAATTTCCGTGGGTCTATTTTAATTTTGTTTTATTCTACATCCAATCAATAGGTCTACTCTAAAACTGGATTTATCTCCAAGTCTTCAGATTAGAGCAGAAAGGCATATTTCCAGCAAGAAGCAGCACGCATCTGCTAGGGATTGTTTCCATGCTGAAAAACACGGGATACAGTTCTGGTAACTTCATCATTAAAAATACGTATTTTGGGGGAGTCTAAAAAAAAAATTGGACCATGGATAAGTGAATCCGTGGATATTGAACCTGCAGATAAGGTACTTCAAAATATGGCAGATTCGCTTCAAAACATGGCCTCCACAGAGGCTACAAGAGGATCTTCTGAGCGCTCAATTCCCACCCACCCCCAAGAAGCATGTTTACACATTTTTGGCCACTTGTGTGTGTGTGTGTGTGTGGGGATGCTTTGGTTCCGTGTTGCCTACCCCTTATTCAGCTGCTGCCAGGCTAAAAGGTCCAATGCACAAGTCCAACCGTACCTCAAACCGCAGCACCTCTTTCCGAAGAACAGCCGATATCCGCTCAAAGTCCCGCTCATATTGCGTCACACGAGATTCCCACTGCAGACACAGAAGCCGTTATGTTGTGAGCACAGCATCCATTTCACACGAACAAGGGGTGTGGGGGGGCGCAGGGGGCACGCATGTAGGGTGTCTGCGATGCACCAGGCACAGCCGACTCATCCGCACGTTAAGATGGTCAAACTGGCCCAACCAGGAAAGAGCTAAAAAATCTGGAAGAGGCTTGTTTAACCAGGCAGGTGGTCCTCTCACTTAACTGGAGAGGCTGTCCTGAGAGTAAGGAAGGCTGGGAGTTCTCCACTCATAGATGAAAATGATGGCTTCACCACTATCACTCTGCTCCCGCATTTAACAGAAGTGGAATGGGCAGCTTCACTAACCTCCAAAAACAGTCAGCAAGGGAGCAAACAGGATTCTGAGCAGTGGCACAGAACATGCCCCCTCCCGACAAGGATCTGTCTTTTATGGCCCACGAGGCCACGCTTGGATCCTCTCGTCCACCCGCACCCACCGGGGCTAGGGGGGTGGTGGCGGGGCGGATGCTGGGGACACGAGTCAGGCTCCGGGGCGCTCTCCCACCTCCGAGATCTCCTCTTTGGCCTGCTGGAGCTTCTCAGGTTTATTGGCCCACAGTAGCCGAGCCTCGGTTTCTCGTTTCTTCTGCAGCATGATCTGGGCATCTTGCCAGCGCTGCCAGCTCTTCATGCGCTGGTCAAAGGCACCCTGCGGGGAAGGGGAAGGGCTGGTCAAGATTAGGTTCCGAGAGGAATCGGGCCTGAAGCCAACTGTGGGAGGGGGCCACCACCGTCAGGCCCTGCTTCTTCACATGGTGGCTTCCAGATGAGGTCAGTACCCGTGAGGGGGGGAAAGGTAGCAATGTGTAGCCTGTATAATTAAATTGCAGTACTTTAAGCACTATGGGGCGGTATATAAGCAGCATGCTTACTATACAATCTTTATCCCAATTGATCTCCAATTGCTCAGTTTGCTGGCTTATTTCTCGTACGGACTCCTTAAACTATTTTAAAGCATGCTGACAGTTTCAAAACAAATGTACGGAGGGGACCTGCATGCATTTGAGACAGAACACATCAAGGTGTTACTGGGAGCTTCTCTCTGATGACCGAAGATGGCCAGAGGGGTCCAAAAGCTTGACACGACCCTGTCAGATGTGAGCTCCTTGCTCCCAAAGCCTATCCCGAGAGAGGGGACACGGAACTGCTCTTACCCTTGCGACGGACAGGAGGCGAATGTAGTCGCTCAGGAGCTCGGCGAGGAGAAAGAAGTCACGGCTGGCCTGCTCCTGATGCAGTTGCTCCACCTTCTCCTCCACCTCGGCCAGCTGGGAGAGCGCCCGGGACAGAGCGGCGTTGTCCTCTGAACTCCCCAGCATGGCTAGACTCTTGGCAAACTGAGCCGTGTTCAGGGCTAACTCTGGGGAGCAGAAAGGGGAGCATTAAGTGCCGCCAGAGTGGGGCGGCTCAGTGCTTTGGAGCAATACATGGAGCCCAAACGAGCCAAGAAAGGTGAGGGAGAAGGTAGAGGGGAAGGTTTTTCCAACAGTTTCTTTCAGAGCTGAATTCCTTCCTTACAACCACCCACCCACTATACTGCACTTCTAGCAAATTGCTACTCTTGGCAGTAAACAATAGAGCCAAAGACACAATTTGTATAAAACGATTACAAGCTAAACCTAATCTACAAGAAATAAAAAACAGAGGCTTATTCATCAGCATATCAGGTTTCCCTCCTACTGCCTCCTCTGTTTCAATCCATTTGGGACAGCCTCCCCCAAAGATTGTTTAGAAAGCTGTTTGTAGAAGGTGCCACAGCTGAAAAGGCCCTGCTTCTGGTTAACGTTTTCCAGGCCTCTCAAGGTGTCGGCATCCACTGGTGCAAGATCTATGAAGACCTGGTCAGACAGGTAATCAAACTTCCTCTCAAGGTGTCGGCATCCACTGGTGCATGAAGACCTGGTCAGACAGGAAGTCAAACTCGGCAGAAGACATTCAGATGAATAATGAGATCCCAAACCGGTTTTGTATGTTAAGACCAAAATCTTGAACCTGGCATGAAAGCGAACCAGTAACCGATGCAGGCAAACCAGAATTGGGGGGAAATAGTCGTATTTCTTCACCCCAGCAGTCAATCTGGCTACCACACTTTGACCCCCTTGAAGCTTCTGTATCAGCCTCAAGGGGGGTCCCATGTAGAGTGCATTACAGTAGCCAATTTCCAAGACGACCAGCCTGTGGACCGTTCAAACATATGTATACTGTACGTGGGAGGTTTTACCTTAATGGCATACACAAGAAACTGAACAGCCAAGAGCTAGGCCAGTTTCAAGTGGACAATGAGAAGGAAAACATTACAGTTAATGCCATCCACCCCTTTATTAACTTAGTACCAGCTGTTTCAGCATAACCGGGAGCCCTGAAAATGTGCTGGACTACAATACTCAATGGGCATGCTTGCCTCGAATGATGGCCATTGTAGGCCAACACATAAGGAAGACATCCAGTTAGGGAAGAGAGATTCATGCTGACTTCACATCTTATTTCAGAGGCGAGCAAAATGTATCCCTCCAGATGTTACAAACTCCCACACACTTAGTGTTGGCTACACTGGCACAGGCCAATAGGGGCTGCCGTCCAACAACCTATGAAGGAAACACATTGAGATGCTGGAATATGGTGCAGATGGGGAAAGAAAATGCCACAAAACGCTAAGATGAAGAACCTTGACTTATCAGACTTGGAATTCACTCCATTTTGATCTCTGCAAAGATGCAGCCTCTCTTACCCTCAGAAACTCCCCCTTCCCTCACCTTCAGAATCACCACAGTTTTTCCCAGTTGGCTAAACCGTCTCAAAATATCATCAGGAGCACTTTATGGCCCATCTAGGATGCCATGGGCAAACCTAAAAAGTTCTCACATCAGCACATTCAACTCCCCCCCCCCAAGGTGCCACCTGGAAGTTTACCTTTCCTATGAGTAACTAATATTTCTACAACCGCGTGTAGCTTCCGCAGGCGCTGCTCCTCACACTCCACCTCCTGCAGCTTCTCCTCAAACCACTGAAAGGGAGAAAGCAAGGAAGAAAAAAACAAATGCCACCAAGTTTCATTTGAAGGCAAATCAGTGCGATATTTACTTAGGCACTCGCTTCAGAAACACCGCCAGGCGCGCATAAAATCCAGAAATGAAACACGCACCTCAAGGCACTCAAAGAAGGTGCGGGTACTTACAATGTCAGATTCATTCATCTTAATGGTCATTTTGCTGACAGCATCGGTGGCTTTGTTGAACATTTTCAGAAGGCCAGCTCCACTAAGCGTCTGGGTGCTAACAGCTCGGGGCAGCTGAAAGGAGGTTGGGAATCAAATTATTTACCACACTTACAAACGGGGCTACTTGAACGTTGATATCCAGAGACGTGCAAAGTCAGAAAAGAACAGAATTGCAAACGAGCTAAGATTCCAAGAGATAAAGTGTGCAGAAACCAATCCTGAGTTATATATGTCCCTTGCAAAGGGAGAATGTCCATACAAAGCCCTTCCCAATTTCGGACCACATGGTCTATCAGAGCCTCTCTCCCCATGGTCATCTACCCGACCCACCAAATCTTCCCAGGGCGATGCTCCTTGTTTGCGGTGGCTCCAACATTGTGGAATCCGCTCCCCGCCGAGTTACGCCTGGCCCCCTCTCCCTGTTAACATTTAGAGGGCAACTTTAAATGCAGTTCTGCAGGGAGACCTTCCAGGCTGACCCTACACGATTTGTGCCTCCAGTCCTGCTGAGTTACCGAAATTCATTTCAGCGGCACTTGTGTGTTATTTGCTTCATGTTTTAATATTTTATTATCTGTTAACATTTTAATCGTCTGTGTTTATCATGTGTTGTAAACCGCCCAGAACAGTCAATGGCACTAATTGGGCAGGATTACAAGTTCGAGACATAACAAACAAACAAGAATTCAGAATTTGGAGAAATCATCATTTGGATTACAAGTATGTTCAAAATTTATTCTGTCCTTCACATGCTTACAGAGATACCACAAAATTTATGTCTGAACTGCCAGGAGTAAGTATTCCCAAATACCACAAACATATGGACTTTTCCCTTCCTCCTTCCCTTTTCATTGTTTATTCTTTGCATGTTCATATCTTAAATTTAAGGGTAATGACAGAAATGTTAACCCTTGCAAGCTACTCTATGGGTATTTTTGGCTAACAGGCGAAGCAGAAATGCTTGAATAATGACTTTTTTAAAAAAAATACGTCTTGAGGGCTTCTGATCTCTGTCCATGGACTAGCATTTGCGTTTTCAAAAAGAAACACAATCCGACCGGACAGCCTTCCCCAGTGAGAAGCTGTGATACAAAAGTCACCGCAACAAAACCACACGTTGACTAGGTGGTTTCATTTCACAGCGGAACAAGTACAGGATTCAATCACCGAAAGCAGAAGCAAGCTATTAGGAGTCAGTGGGGAAAGGTGAGGGACTGCAGAGAAGCCAGGATAAAAGATTGGTATTTTTTTCCAGCCCCATAGCAATTCACAAAAGCTTTTGAAAAAACGTTTGACAAAAAAGCCACACACACACAGACACACAAGGTCCTTATGTTCAAGCACATCTTTAAAAAGGCATGCATGAATTCCTCAGTTTTTAACCAAATAAACCATGTTAGGGCTGCTTGTCGGGTCACAAGCGTGGAAGCATCTCGCGGACAAGAGAGCGCGCGCACGTGGGTGTGGCGACAAACCAACCTCATCTTTTTCCAAGAACTCTCGGACGTCGGGGTCCTGCAGCATGGTTGGGTGGCTCACAGTTCTCTGAAGGTACCTGTGGAGAAGGAATGGAGGGATCTGGCCTTCCTCCGCTTTGTATTTTTTGACACACATTCATATCACAACAATACTTTCTATATGGACATAGATTAGGCCACAACACTGGAACTCTACCTGTAAGGGATGACAAATATGTTTCCCTCTCAATGATTAATGCTCGTGATGAAAAAAACTCCCTTCTGCCTCTTCCTTTTCCAGCAATCTAGTGTTTTAGGAGGGGAAAACTTTTTCGTGGTTGCAATTTTTAAAACCGCCAGAAGCCGGAGATCTTGATGTACCACCACCGATCCTGAGCATTACGTGGCAACAACAAGGACCCATTCCTCACCAAATCCATTTTGGGGGTTCAGTCCTCCCTTGCAGATTTTTTTCTTTCTATTCTTTTCTGCCTGCAAGGGGTTCCCCAAACCTACCGATCCCTCTCCACCCCCCCCCTTGTGCATGGCTGGCATTTGGTTTGCAAAATAAACCGCACACTGAGAGAGCCTTGATTAGGACTATAGCATCAGAGGCCTGGGCTTTGAAGGCATACTCGGTAGTTTGCTTCTTCTTGCATACCTTTAGTAAACAGACCTTAACTGTGACATACCCAACAAAGGGGACCCTTCTAAAACCTTCTGTATCACTGCAAGCGGAAGCACGAAACCCCAGCAGAACTGCGATAACGCCACTTCTCCTCTCACTTCCTCAGTTGGGGTGGTGTTTAAAACTATTTCCATTGTGAACCGATTCCCATCATCCTTGGCCTTTTAAAAGGATCCATTCTGGTCAACCAGAGCCATCTTATGCACAGGGAGTGAGAATCGTTCCCATCGATTGTGACCAGGCAAAGAAACAGACTAGGGGCCCAACTGGAAAGAACTTTGGGGGGGGGGAACCTCTCTTTCATGAATTCACGGACACCAGCTTTAAAGAGAACAAAATTAGTCTGTTCAGTGGGCTACAGCCTGAGGATCAAGAGCCAGGAACAAACAGGGAATGAATTATTTTGTATCTGAAAGGTTTTGGGCATTTCCCCCGGAATCGTCTGCCTCTCATGCAATCACTCATTCTCTCGGCCTCTCTTGCATAGACAGGTTAAGGCAGGCCTTGGCCAAAAAAGGCTGGGATCAGAGGGGTCTGCCTGAGATCTGGGGGGAGCTGCTGCTGGTTTGTACATAGACCCATCCACGCCCTGTGCAGCCGTTCCGTCTAGCTATGTGCAGGGCTCACATGACACTGGGGAGAGGGGGCACACTCTTCAGCCCTGGCCCCATGTCCCCCACTTCCAACCTCCTGAGCAGGTTTAGCACCAAGGTCTACAGAGGCAGTGTAAGCGCAACCCACTGGAATGGTACTTCCTGCCTTTCTGTGATTTTCAGCCCTTCCTCATCAAGCCTGTTGATCCCTAAACCATTGCAAACACATTCAGTTACACTTGCTTGCTAGGCTAGCCTTGGAGCCAAACGTAGAAAGGTCTGGAGGACTGCAGCCAGGCAGGGCTTGCCCACACCCACAACATCACCCCCACTCTTTGAGGCCCCCACATGCTTTGAGGACTAACACAGGAACAGGACTTTAATCTGCTCTAATGTTCCTTATATAAAATATCTAATACCGTATAGAGATGGCTGCATTGCTCAGGGGTTAGTATCTAACTGCTGAGCCAGACACTGGGAGTTCAGTTCCCCTCTGGATTTCCCAGAAGAGCCAGCCTGGGTGGCCTTGGGCCAGCTGCACAGTCTCAGGGCGCCCCCTAGAGGACGGGAATGGGAAAACCACTTCTGAGTACTCTCTACCTGGACAACCCTAAAAAAGACTCACCCTAAGTCAGAACTGACTTGACGGCAAACTATTATTATTATTATTAAATTCCACATAAGGAAGACCTCACCCTAAGTCAGAACTGACTTGATGGCGAACTATTATTATTATTATTAATTCCACATAAGGAAGATTATTTTGATGAATCGATTTCCTGATACAGGATCCGTACTAAGTGGAGCACACGCAGTGCTCTTTCACAACTGCGGCTGCAACAGATACCCGCGTGGGATACAGACAGTTACCTCTCTAAAGCAGCTCTCCTTTTCTCCAGGAATTCTGTGGACGAGGAATCTTCCTTCCCAACTTTTACTTTGGTCATTCCTGGAACAAGAGGGAGGACATTTGGGTTCTAAGAATCTTGGTACGTCTCACAAATGTGATCAGTTCACACTGGCTGATTGTCAGACCTGAAAACAAGCCCTAGTATGATTTTTTCAGGACGCTCGTCATACAAGCCCTACCCCAAAAAATAAGCCCCCCGTTAAGTGAAACCCCGCCCTCCACCCTTGTGCAGCAACCAGAAGAAGATGACATGACCGCATCTGAATAAACGTAGATGGCTGTACATGAGAAAAATAAAACATCCCCTGAAAATAAGCCCTACTGTGTTTTTAGGAGTAAAAATTAATATAAGACCCTGTCTTATTTTTGGGGAAACATGGTAGTTACATCCATACGTAGGTATGTGTGTGTGTATGTGTGCATCTGCATCTGTGTGTATACACACACGTGTACATGCATGTGTATCCTGAAGAAGGCTGTGTGCCAAAATGCGCTGAGCATTTTAAAATCAGAGTAAAGATGATTTACATCTCTCATACCTTCCACAACTGCACCTCCCTGATTATGCTGGCTAGGGGCTGACGGGAATTACAGATCCAGGATATCTGGAGAGCTACAGCTGCCCAACCCTGACCCGGAAGGACCAACAGCACAAATGGAAGGGGTGTGTGTGTCTTTTATTCCGATACGAGGAAACCACTCTCTGCTCTGCAAGCACCATGCTCCCCCCCCAACAGTGCTGGCACAGCCCAGTAAGAAGGGAGGAAAACATGACATCGGCAATGCCACTGCAGTGCACAAAGTTCATCCAAAGCAGGACCGAGTCTCTAAAGGAAGTCCTCGTTATTCAACGGTAAAAGAAAAAGAGGTGGGAATGGATGACCACTATTTACTCTCTTGAGCCAAGTCTTTGTGCTACAGAATGATCTACTTGCGAATACCGGCTGTGCTTCCTTCTTATAAAACGATTCTGGCCCAGCAGTGATAGGGGCATTTAGGGAATTCCTGCTTGTTCCCAACTGGGACGGATGGAGAACAGAAATATTCAACAGCAATGCTGATAGAAGGGCATGATGGAAGAGGTCCACTGCAGCAGTAGGCACCGATATGGCCACTCGGCTTGGCCTCTGGAGTGCCCAGAGCTGTCAAGGAAAATCGGCAAGGACAGTCCCCGGGGTCACTTTTCCCACCATCTGCAGCAGCTTTTCCGTTTGGGCAACCAACGATTTCATTCAGCAACCCCACCGGCAAATCCCCTCGGAAGACTGACCGTCCTTCGGGGGCTCCTCCGACCAGTCAAAACGGGGGAGGAGGAGGAGGGATGCGTGTTTGCAGAAGCAGTTTTGCTCCCCGCTTCTTTCTTCCCTCTTAACTTATGCACAGCTAGAATCGGACAACACCAGGGTGCCCGCAGGGTTTCAACTGACCGTTGCAAGCTAGATGTCAGGCCAAAAAAATAAAATAAAAACAATTAAAAAAAATCTCATATGGCAATGGGATTTTCATTTTGTGAACCGGTTGGCAAACGAAATAAAAAGCCAGGGCAACCCTCGCCTCCGGGGCACGTCATAAGACAGGAGATGGCACCTGTGTCCGATCCCATTTCTCACTGAAATACTGATCCACCTCACCTATTAAGCTCTTCTCAGGAGGTGGAGGCACAATGAACCCATTTTGTGCGTGTTTCTCGGACAGCTTCTCGTACAGGCCCAGAAAGTCGCTGAACCTTCTCTTCACCGTGAACTGCTTGTTCCTGAACATGGGCAGAGTGGTCTGAGAAGGAAACGGGAAAAAAAAAACCCAGATGAATACAGAGCGCTCCACACTTCAAATACGTCTACGTTTAAATAAAGGCATTATGCTTCCAGAAGCGCTAAAGCCTTGGAAGAAAACCCTCTCTCCTAAGGAGAAACCCGACAAGCGGGCTTCGCTCTGCCTTCGGCAAAAACACTCCATGCCGTGTCATGCACTGCTGCCCCACACATAGTTTCAAGAGCTGTTTCCCCGTGCTGTAGAGGGAAGGATCATTGCTCGGGAAATATAAATAAAACATTTCCTTGGCCACCAACACAAACTATGCAGCCCTTTGGATTCCGGACAGGACATTTTGCCATTTAGCAACCAGGCGGACGCAAATTTGAAACTGAAGCCATCAGTAGTTCAGAACTAGGAAGAAATGATGCATTTTATTTCTCCAATCACTGCCTTTTTGTCAATTAAAAAGGCATGCTGCTTATATACCGCACCATAACATTAAAGTGCTCTCTCTCTCTCTCAGTGATTTGCAATTTAATTATGCAGCCTACATGTTTCTTGCCTTTCCACTGGACTATTTCAGTGACGTGGAGAGGGGGGATTTGCTGGTTGGGTATCAGCCTATCCTCCATATTATTTTACCAGGCTTCGTGCCCTGGAGAGGACACTCCAGCTTTGCGTACAGCATCAAAACACTAGACGCTGTTCCAAATCCTCCATCCAGAGCATGTTATTATAGTCTCTCGAGACTGAAGGATGCCTATGATGACATATTGCCCCCTCCCCCACGAGCTGGGCCTTTAATTAAACTGATCAAAACCAGTCCTTGATTCTCCTCCCCAGAGATCAACGTGGTCCTCCATGGATGATATCACCCTCTCAGCTAAGCAGTCTACCAGTTAAACACCGAAGACCTGCTGCATATCCTGCATATTATTTTTGAACAATAAATAAATCTCCAAATATGATAAAGAAGGACCTTGGGTTTCCAGCAAGAAAGCACATTTCTTTACAAAGAGTCTTGTTCTTACACGTTAAGCAAAAGGGACAGAAGGCGGACTTTACCAAACTTCCACATTCTGTGAAAGCGAAAACAGTCTGCCTCTTGAAGACAAAGACTCATTACAGATCACCCGCTTAGGAAGGGGCCACAAAGCAGCCAGAAAGCAGAACCCAGCCGGCTCCACTCACAGCCATGGTTAAACTACACACCGCTCTGATAAATAAAAAACTCTCCCTTCAAGCCTGCCTCTCCCATAATTTTATTTGAAACTTCACAATTAAAACTGCATCAAAGCATATATATAGAAATTAGACACACACTGCACATCATAAGGTGATGGGTTAAGATGGGAATTAAGAAACCAGTAGGTACGAAGTTTTTCCCATTTTCAAAACAAAGTTTTACACTGTGAAATTACACTAGAGTAGGGCAGCTGAATCAATGGAAGTTTCGTGAGTCAACTCTTCCATAAGTTCAATTGATTCAAATGGGCTTACTCTACCTGTGACTTAATTTCACATAGTAAGTCATAGAGTAGGCCTGTTTGAATCAAGTGCAACTTACCCCATTAAGTAACAGGATTTGGGCCACTGAATATGATTTTCCAAACTATTAAATATGATTTTTTTCAGCTGCTGTTCAGCTCCTCCCCTCTCTCCACGATTTCCAATCAAACAGAGTTTAATAATGGCTATATAAATCTAAGAACTGGTTCTTGATTCTCGTTCTCATTGTCTGTACACGCCACCTTCCGATTGAAGGAGACATGTCTCTTTAGACTGCAAGCTTGCGGGCAGAAGGTACTTGGTTTTAAATATGTGTACAGTGGTGCCTCGCTTGACGAGGATAATCCGTTCCAGAGAAATCGCTGTAGAGCAAAATTCTCGTCAAGTGAAATAAAAAAGCCCATTGAAACGCACTGAAAAGCGCTCAATGTGTTCCAATGGGCTAAATACCTCAGCGTCCAGCGAAGATCCTCCATAGGGTGGCCATTTTCCAATGCCTGTGCAGCGAAAAATCTGTCCTAAAGCACAGCGGGGAGCCATTTTACACAGCGGGCGGCCATTTTCAAACCCAACGATCAGCTGTTTTGATCATTGTAATGTGAAGAATCGGTTCCCGAAGCAGGGAACAGATTGCCGGGAAGTGAATTTTGCCCATTAAAACATCGTTTTGCGATCGCAAAGCCTCATCGTCAAGCGGATTTGTCGTTTAACAAGGTAATCTTTAAGCGAAGCACCACTGTACAATGCTCTGTAAATTGTGTAAAGCTTTGACACTGTGTAAGCGATCATTGCATCATCAAAGTCCCCCAAACCATGGCAGATGCTTGTGACAGAGGTCTGCTTCTTACAAGTGAGTTCCAAAGCTGCAGCCATACATCTGGGGCCATAGGCTTCAAATTCCACCCCTGGTAGCTGCTGGTTAAGTTTTCTCTACCAGCTCATTAAACGAAGGTTTATGCTAGGTTTATTCAAGGTTTAATCTCTTTCCCCTTGGCCTTCTTTCGGAACTCAGAGTTCTTATAGAATGCACAATAAGCTTTCCCAGGATGTTGCAGTTTGGACATGTGGCTTGGCGTGCACCACGAACGCTCTTGAAACTTTAGAATTAAAACAGCAGATCACCCGGTGAAAAGGTGTGCCGTAAGTAACCCTATCCCCCCCGAGTTCAGAGTACAAGGCAGTATCTGTGGGAGATCAAAGCAAAAGTCATTGCAATTTAAATGGAGAAGGAAGTATATCCAGGCCTTTGTAAACAGATCTGACATACCTGCGTTGACACTTTGTAGGCTACATAAGCATTCATACCATCGCCTGCGGAAAGAGGAAACCAAACATTTTAGATCACCAGGGAACACTTATGCTCTGACCCATACCTCCATCTAGTGGGCTCATCACAAAAGTAAACAAGTTGATGCAACCAATTCCCCATGTAGAGAATTGCCTCTGTTGACAGTCTCAGGTGTCATTTTGAGTACAACACACACTTAGAGCTTGGAAAACTTTTTTAAAAACCCTGCTTTAGTTCTCAAACTCCTTTAGTCCTCATAGGGCTTCTATAGTTTTCTTAAACGCAACCTATATCGTTCATTTGCATAAGTAAGAATTCTGCTTTAAAAAAACACATTTCAGGCTGAAACGACTTTGATTTCTTTCACGTCTCTGTCAATGGCAGCTAACTCTGAGTTTGGTTCACACAGCCTGCTTCCATATTTATATACAAATTTACTAGTAGAGAAGATGCAAGCTGGATTTAAGACTTTAGCGGGTCAAAAAGTTATCTGCAGTGATAAAAGGAACCAACATAAAGGTGACATGGCTCTCTTGTGATCTTCTTACAAAGGCATGTCAAATTTTTTGGCCCTATCCTGTCTGTGCTCTACCAAAAAAAAAAAAGCATTTGGAATTCCTTATGTTTCTGCTCGAATGCTAAAACCCATTTCAGTTTAGCGTGGTTCACGATCTCTCAACCATCACCCCCAAAATCTAAGAGACTCCAGAAATGAAATTATAATAATACAACAGTGTCGCTTCAAAATGGGGTGAAGACCTTCTAACATAAACAGAAGCTAGTTTTGGTGTACCAAACGGGAAAACTAGCACAGAAACACACACACGTACCTACCCAATTTCTACAGCTGTCAATACTCTTGAAAACTATAGCACCAAAATCCAGAATCATCTCATTTAAAGCAGAAAAAGGCTTGCTTGACATGAGTTTTAGGGCAGTATGATTTGCTCTGAATGGCAGCATTTGAGGAGTATGTATGGGAAGCTCACACGGAGGTCTCTAGGGGATGAAACTAGTCTCCCAACTGACTGAAGTTGGCCAGCTAACCTAGAATACACCCAGTTGAGGATGATGCGATGCATGCCTGTTCTGAACACTTCCCACCAAACCATATATATCAGCCAGACGAACTATCTGATTCGCTACGGAACACAGTAATTCGGAGGGTTTTCGACCTAGCCCGTTATTCGTGCAAGGAGGGAGAGAGACTGCCTGGTCCGGGAGCCCTCCTTCAACTGTCCTCCCACAAAAGCTACAGGATGTCGGCCGCTGAAGCTCCCCTAACAGGACCATCTCCAGGAGATGCCAAATCTTGCTTTCCCTTTCCTACAAAGAGGAGTCTCACAGAATAAGGAGCGTCTTGTTCTCCTGCCGGATCTGAGAGAGCCGTGCCCATCTGCCCCGAGCGGAACAATTAAGCGGTTGTTACGGCAGTGAAGGCAGCTGGAGGAACACAGAAGCAGGGGGACGAGAAAGCGGGTGGCGAGCTGGCCGAACCCACTGGGGTCTGTTCTCTGGACCGCAGAGAGCCCGAAGCCAGTCACAGCTCATTTCCCGAAGCACAGAGAGTGTCTTTTGCCCGCTCCTCTTTCCTGCCCTCAATAGCCAGACTATTTGTGCAGCAACGAGGACAGGTGCATCCAGAATCCTGGGGCCAAAGAAGGCCCTGCGGCCGACGGAGCCCAATGGCAGCGACTATCATTTGAACGAGAACAGAGCGCCTTTCAAACACTGTGCAAGAGTTCTATTCCCGTTGGCCTTGAAAAACCGCTTCTGTCAGGTAAACAACTGGTGCATTTATTTCCTTTAGTAATACCCCATGTGGCTCTCTAGTTGAGTGGACTACAATTCCCATGATCCCTCATCATATACTGGGTTTGTAAGGGCCCATGAAGGTTGCAATCCAATGAAATCTGAATGGCCACAAGTTTTCCAGACATGTTGTTGTTTAGTTATTTATCTGAGTCCGACTCGTCATGACCCCACGGACCAGAGCACGCCAGGCCCTCTTGTCTTCCACTGCCTCCCGGAGTTGGGTCAGATTAGCCTTTTGTTTCTGTCCATGGAGTCTTATTGGCAAAGATACTGGAATGGCTTGCCAGTTCCTGCTCCAGGTGGATCGCGTTGAGTCAGAACTCTCCACTATGACCTGTCCGTCTTGGGTGTCCCTGCACGGCATAGCCCATAGCTTCTCTGAATTACTTAATAGTGCACCTATTAAGAATGAAGTTTTAATCAAGGTTTGCATCCCCTCCTGGCCAGGACAAAGAAGTATTAGACTAATCTATCATTGTTTGATGCCAAGGTTGGCTGATACGAAGATAGTTCTGTCTTCTTTCTGTAATACATGTGTACATCTGAGCAGATCAGCAGAAGCAGCCTACAATTACTAGGCTTCCTCAATCAAAATAATAATAATAATAACAAATAATTCATAGCCCCATGCACTTTTCTCCACCCATGACGCCAACTCATTTCCATTTCATAAATGACTCACCAATCTTCTCGGGATCACTCACTCCCACAAAGAGTTCAAACTTGTCTTCCTGCTCTTCTTCTTCTAGCTGTTTGGAGAAGAGAGACCTTTACTTTTGATTCAAAGGCTTCCAGCCGGCTTCAACACTGACTTGAGTTTTGCATTTTAAGCTTGGCAATGATCAAGCCAGCGTATTTGTGTGCAAATTCGATGGGTACCATTCTGTTCGAAACAAATTCCTGGGCTCAGGAATTCTTCCACTCTTAGCTGTAGGACATCCAGACCAGACTCCAGCTGATCTAAAAGTCTCCCGGGAGAAATCAAAGGCGCCCTTCCCATGGGTGAAATCTGCCCAACGGGTCCCACATCCATCTACCGTCTTCGGAGACACCGTTTCGAGAGAGCAGAGGTGGCCAAAACAAAGCTGAGTAAAGATCAGCTATGGCCGCAGGCCAAACGAGCAAGGGATGTACAACTATTTATTTATTTATTTATTTTATATCCCGCCTATCTGGTCGGGTCAGGACCACTCTAGGCGGGCCATTGCAAAAGCAGCCAGGACTATCCACTCTGTCCCAACAGAAAACCAAACACAGAAGCACCTACCTCCTCATAGGTTTTTGACTGATGCTTGGAAGAGGAATTTGCTGCTTTCTCTAGAGAAGGGGCAGGACTGAAGACACTCGCTGTCTCTTTCTTCTGATGGTTTGATACACCATCCAGGGTCAATTCCACCGTGGCATCTAGAAAAAGGGCACAATTTCTAACAAGGGACAGAGAAGCACTCTTCCTGATTCCTTCAGCCATCTAGATGCAGCTTCTTTGAGACCACAAGAATTGTAAGTGCTGTCATGTGATCGTGCCTAACAACCAGCGACAAAGATGACTCAAATCTTGCTTCACCGAAATGACATTATAACCACCTCTGCTTTAACATCTGTCCTTCATTTACATTTTTGGCAACCAATAATTAATGATCAAGGAACATGAATATTATCTATTGATCTGATTTACAGCACACATCTTTCTCTCAACCGTGAGACTCAAGGCAGACCATTGCAAAATTAAAAAACAAGTCAAGTTGAAGGACGCAAGCTTATAATATAAAACATGACTAAACATTCATAGTGTTAAAATGTCATTGGATTAAATGTAACCCAAAAAGACACAAGTTCGCACAGACTTTATTCTGTCCCCAGTCCTTGTATACACACTCCGTTCCCGTGCTTTCTGACAAGTGCATGTAGCCCACAAAAGCTTGTGAAAAAATAGTCTGGTTCAATGGTTCCCAACCTTGAATTTCCAGATGTTCTTGGACTGCAACTCTCAGAAGCCTCCAACACCTGCTGTGCTTGCCAGAGTTTCTGGGAGTGGCAGTGCCAGAACACCTGGGTGATCCAATGCCAGGAACCACTACTCTAAGCTAGGCAGTAAAACTTACGTTATACACTAAATAGACAAAATACCGTATTTTTCGTACCATAAGACGCACTTTTCCCCCACAAAACGGGGTGGTGGTGGTGGAAAGTCTGTGTGTCTTATGGAGCGAAGAAAACAGATTATATTTTCCTGTCTTCTTCTCCTAAAAATGGAGCGTCTTATGGAAAGGTGCGTCTTATGGAGCGAAAAATAAGCGCTGACCCTCTGGTTTTCCTGTTTTCTTCTCCTAAAAATGGTGCGTCTTATGGAAAGGTGCGTCTTACGGAGCGAAAAATACGGGTAAGCGCTGACCCTCTGCTCTTGCATAAAACATTATTTTGCTCTCAGACCAGTCTCGTTATTGCCCAAACAGCTGTAAAAATGCATATTAAGAAAGTGTGTAAGTTCAGAAAACCTGCGTTCGCCAACAAAACTAAGCCCACACACAGCATTCTGCAGACCAGGTAACAGAGTTTCCTCTGTTTAGGAGATTTCAAACTTTACAGAATGGGTTAGCCTAAAAGCTTCAAGAGGCCTATGGATTTCAAATCTCACAAAACAGCGACCAATCTGTACACAGCTCTCTCCAAAAACCAAGATAATGATCCAATTACTACAAATTTGGCCTTGTTTGTAACCTGTAGGAGCTTCTTTGCCAGATTTAGACATCCAATAAATTTGTTTCCATTGGATTTCTGTCATACTCTAATGAAATTGGCAGACACGCAGGTCTTCTTTTCCAGGGATTCAGGTATATAGAAGCTGAAATCCCTGTTATTAATCAGCTGAAATACAGTAGTACAGCTTATACTACTTAAGTCCGGTGACACTGACTGTGGTGCTTTGTCAGAAATTAAAAATATCTGACTCCCCCCCAACCCTAAAATGTACTGATGTTTCCTTGGGATTCTCTTCATTGTGTGGAAGCTATCTGGGACCTCAAGATGGGGAGAAATCTTTAATTTTCGCTTGCAGTGGGTTGGTTAACAAGATGATTTTAATTTCTACAACCTGACCCCCCTGCAGCTGATTACGTCATCAGCCGTATGTGGCATCTGTTACACTACTATATTTCAGCCGGTGTAACTTAGCCTTTGTACAACACTTTCAACTATTTAGAGGCTTTACATCCATTTTCTTGAAACGGCCTTCTTCTCTGTCCTCCATGCTTCACATGTAAGAAGCTGAAGTTAAGAGAATGTTGCCCAAGACGCCTCCAAGTGAATTCTTGGGAGATGCGAGACTCAGCTTAGGGATTTCCCAATTTTCAGTTCAGCCTCTGAGCCATGACTCCAAAACCATCCAGAGTTTCTCCACAGGAGAGAAATCAAAGTGCTCCTTTAGACAAAGAATATATAGCGATTCTGAATGGGTCTTTGAGGCTCAGAGAACGCATTCGATGGAAGCAGTTCGGCAGGATGGACACAAAAGCCACATTTATATCATGCAATAGTTTCCCTCCTTGCGCAATCATCAGTAGGCAAGCTATTTCTTCATCACCACACAGGGGAGGACAAGGGCTGCCAATCACAATGGCTATACAGTGGTGCCTCGCAAGACGAATGTAATTCGCTCCCTGAGTAGCGCTGTCTCACGAAAAAATCATCTTGTGAAAAGCGGCTTCCCATAGGAATGCATTGCAATGCATTCCTATGGGAACCCCGCAAGACGAATAATTTTTTGTTTTGTTCAATGCATTCCTATGGGAACCCCGCAAGACAAATGATTTTGTTTTGTTTTGTGAGGCATCGGTCTCGGGAAATGGCCATAGAAGAAACCATCTTGCGAGGCACCATAGCGAGCGAAAAAACCATTCGTCTCGCGGTTTTTTCATTCTCGTCTTGCGAGGCACCACTGACCATTCGTCTTGCGTTTTTTTCATCCCACAAGGCGTTCGTCTTGAGAGGCACCACTATATATTACTTCTGACATCAAAGCCAGTTGCTGGGTAACCTAAGGCAGGAAGGCGCTGTTATGTTCATTTCTCATCTTTGGACTTTCTTGAGGAATTTTAACGGCCATTACAAGAAACAGAAGGACGGGGAGCACAGCCTTTTGGGCTGATCTGGCCAGATTCTTCTTACATTCCTATAAATGTGAAAACATACCTGCAAATAGGTCCCGATCATCTTGTTCTTCCTGAATGCCATTTGTCTTGCAGTTGCTCCTGACCAGCACAGGTGCCTCCTCCTTTGGGGACATCAGCTTACTCTTGAGACACAGAAAACAGACATTAGACAAGCTGCAGAGTTAAATCCTTATCAAAGCACACACACAGAGACACCAAGCAGAGTATAATATGGATATTATGCATTGTTCAACCCCAAAGAGGCCACCGCTTTCACCCATTTCCCATTTATTCAGTGGCTGTAACCGTTTTTTAAAAAAACTATTAAAGACTTTAATCAATTAATTGTAGTTCTTCTTCAGCATCACAACACACCTCTTTGAGGAAAAATTAACAAAGCAGGCCCTGGTGCCCTTTACACCCTGTTCCACCACTGTAACGTTTTGCTTCTAAACGCCCACTGTTTCCCGAGGAGCTTTCCAAAGGAACAATGCTTTGGGTATCTGGAGACAGCATTGACATTGTCTGTGCAACCGGGTTGGCAGTTTAAAAAAAAGCACACACACAAAAAAACACCACCACAGCAGCACAACCCTAGACAATGCTGGCAGTGCTCTGAGTCAGCCTCTTTATTAATTGTGTATATATTAACCGGAACAAAAAGCAACTGGGGTAACCCTGCTTGACTGAGTCTCCTCAGTTTTGAAAAAGCCACGCTGTGCTCTGTAAAGTATATGCTGAAGTTTGAGGCTGGGCCTAACCTTTTTAGTTCCATACATGCCTGCTGTCCATTGCAATGCACAGTCCTAAAGCAACATTAGACCGTACTTCCCAAAAGATACAGTTTGTGCCTTTCTGCTTTTTCATTCTATCATTTATTTTGCAGCAACCAAAGATAGAAATGTGATTTTTTTTAAATTAAAAAGATGATTCAGAGTACGATATCTTATACAAGCAGTTGTCTTAAGAATAAAAAAGACTCTCACAGCAAGCTTTTAACTCTGCTGCTACTTCAGCTGCTGAAGATTTTACACATTTAATGTCTGTTTTGAATTTAATTCATTGGCTTTCTAAGCTTTTCTTAGATGGTTCATGTGATTATTTTTACTTCCTATTTGCTGGACGCTATGAGACAATTCGTGTATTATCAGAAACAGTGCAAGAACATGGTAACACACACACACCCTCTCTAAACAAACAGAGCACTGGGAATATTGAAGACAACCGGCTCTAGTCATCATGAAAGGCCTCGTAAGGTTTGCAGGATTTCTGCAGAAATTGTGCAATTTCCAGATTCCCAGAGTCATTTTCATGTTAAGCTTACTGATGAGTTCTTCCTCAATCAGAAACTTATAGACCACACTCAATTTCTCTTTTGTGGATAATCACAATCAACTTCCTTTTACTTAATTAAATATTACTGCACAGAATCTACTAAGAAAAGCTTTTCTCTCTCTCTCTTTAGCAATGGCACAACTATCCACTAAAACATGACCCACCATTCCCTCCCCTTTTCTCCCCCTACGAGGAGTGGGATATGAGGAAGAACAGTTTTGCCAGGGATTTAACTGCATTAGACTCTGCTCACAAATAAATACTGCGCATCCCATGATGCAAAACGCCAGGACTAGTCTCAAGATGGCCTGGGGAACATGGACACAGATGTCCATACGTAATCAGGACAGCCTTTTACATTGTTGGATCAGGACAGCTAAATGGTCTTTATCGGTGCTAGCAGGTTCATATTCTGAGTCACTGGATTAATGAACTACTGTAGCATCCTCCCCTTAAATATTCTGCAAGAAGAAGAATAGCTTGCTTTCTAGGCAGAGGCCTGCTGGAATATTCACAAAACTGCTCATGTATCTTGTTCAGGGCAGCACAACCCATTTAATACATAAAACAGACACACGATGAAAGACAATTTATAGAGTTTTTAATTCGCACCTGGAATATTTAAAATAAATTACGAGACCCAAGTTTAAGGCTACACTTCAGTGAGAAAGCTAAGAACGGCTCAGAGCTCTATGAGAACAGCTTTGAAAAGTTGAAGACCACTCAGGGGACACGACCTATCCTTTAAATATCCAGCTAAAGTAGGAAGCAAAACTAGCATCCTCCCCTTAAATATTCTGCAAGAAGAAGAATAGCTTGCTTTCTAGGCAGAGGCCTGCTGGAATATTCACAAAACTGCTCATGTATCTTGTTCAGGGCAGCACAACCCATTTAATACATAAAACAGACACACGATGAAAGACAATTTATAGAGTTTTTAATTCGCACCTGGAATATTTAAAATAAATTACGAGACCCAAGTTTAAGGCTACACTTCAGTGAGAAAGCTAAGAACGGCTCAGAGCTCTATGAGAACAGCTTTGAAAAGTTGAAGACCACTCAGGGGACACGACCTATCCTTTAAATATCCAGCTAAAGTAGGAAGCAAAAAAGGAAGCAAAAACAGAATACATTATCCTTTTTGTGAAGAGAGAGCTTCCTAATGAGCCAGGAGAGAGCCAAGATAGCATAAAAACTGGGATGGGGAAATGCAGAATTGTGTTTGTTTGTTTGTTTGTTTATTTATTTATTTATTTATTGGACTTATATACCGCCCCATAGCGCTACAAGCACTCTCCGGGTGGTTTACAATTTTA